GCTGAGGCTGTAAAATCTTTACAGAAACCACCCACCTCACCTTTCTCCCATTGAGCAGCAAGTGGGTGAAAATCAAGGGTGGTGGAGTCTGTAGGGAGTTGAGATGCTAACCCAAAGGCAGTACGTGTATGGCAATTTTGACCCAGTAATGACTCTGTGGGAGAAAAATTGGCAATCTCCTCCTGTGAAATGTACAGGCTGGGGAACCCACTGGAGAGTCAGCTATGAGTCGGTTAGGACTTGACTGCAATGAGTTAGTATTATTTTTGTTAGCAGCCTAATGTTTTAACTGCTGAAACGCTAGGGCTTCTTTTAATTGCATTATACTACTCACATATTAGACATTCTACTGCATACCACTTTTTTTGCCAAAAGACTACAACCAAGAAAGTTAAAAATAAATGACATTCTTTATATACATGCAGTTTTGCTAAAAGCATTTTCTTTTCCAGTTCTTTGGAATATGATGTTCTCAGTTCAAACTTCGTTATGGCATTCACTCCCTAGAAACTCTCTGAATTTTGACAAATGACAATAGTTATAGAAAGGGTTCAGGCCTTTTGTTCATAGGGTCACTATAAGTCATCCTCAACTCAATGGCAAGCAACAACAGCAAAAACAATATTTAATGTATGCACCTGGACATAGGTAGTCCATTATTTTCTCATTGATATTACCTATTCAAAGGCCTATAGTATGTGTATCTCAGTTAAATTCCATGTAAAATTATTTTTACTGTTCTTGGTTCAGGGAGCTCTGATGTACTAGTAGTAAGGAACTGCACTGGCAACCCAAAGGCAGGTGGTTTGAATCCACTAGCTGCACTAAGGGAGAAAGATGGAGAATCTCTCCCCTTAATGATTTACAGCCTCTGAAAACCCAACGAATGGTCAAATCTGACTCAGTGGCACATAACAACAACATGCTTGTTTTTTTCTAAGAAGTTAACCAGAGGAAAATCATCATTATCCTGAAACTAGGTCCTAAGATGCCCTTTTGACCTGGAACTGAAGCCATTCTGAATATGAACTCTCAGTCAAACAATAGACAAGCCTATAAAATAAACAACACCAAAGAAAAATGTCTTACTTAGAGCAATCAATTATGTGAGCTAAAAAGAGGGACATTTGCCTAAAAACAAAGATGAGAAGCCAAGAAGGGGTCAACATTAGGGAGAAAGAAAATGGGGAAACCAGGGCAGAGAAAGGGAGAGTGGTAACAGGGAACCAATGTCATGGAACACTATACGTAAACTATCTAATGGGAAACAAATTTGTTCTGAAAACTTTTACTTAGAATACAATGAAAAACTCAAAACATAACAAAAGAGGACCATGTTTTGGCAATTCTTGAACTTTTTCTAAATGGAATATGCATACTTTTGTCTCTTATTCTTTTTTCTTAACATTATATTTTGGTGATCCAAAATATTGCTTTTTGGTGATCCAAAATATTGCTATTGCTTGTCACTGTGGTTCATTTTCATTCTGAGTAGTATTCCAATACATAAATATATAGAAATTATCCATTTTATTGGTGGAATTGGGACTATTTCCAGATGGAGGCTGTTTTGAACAGTGCCTCTATGAACTGGCTTGTAATGCATAGCTTCTGCATGCATTTCTATTATGCATAGAACTAGTATACAACTTCTAGATCATGAGATTTAATATGTTTAGCTTTAGTAGATACTGCCAGTCTTCTGAAGTGGTTTTTCAATCTACATTTCATCAGTACTACTGCAAGAAATTTTCAATGCCTAGTATTTTAAAATCCATAAGATTTTTTCTTTTTTATTATTATTATTAATTTTAATGAACATTTAGAGATATTTTGGATTTCCATTCATTCATTGTTGCACTTTTTTCCCTGTCCACCCCCCCCCCCGCCCCCAATTCACTCTTGGGCTATGGGGAAACAGAGACCAATGATGTAAAGAAATAGCATTGTCCAAAAGATTGCTAATTGGTGGCAGGGTAAAGAAAATGAGAAAGATCCATCAAGGATCTGGAAAGATGGGGTAATTGTAGGAATAGTTTAATGGTGATTAATTTTATAAAACAATGAATGGGATTTATTGTATGAAACATAATGTGAATGAAGGATAGTATGAAAGACAATGTTTATAAACTTTGTGATGTTTTTCTTTCTTTTTTTAATTAATTAATTTTAAGGAAAGTTTACAGAGACTTTGGATTTCCATTCATTCACTGTTGCAATTTTTCCCGGCCCAACCTCCCCCCGCCCCTCAGTTTGCTCTTCTCTTTGGAAAGTAAAAGAAAAATTCTTTAATTGTTATACAATCCCTCCTCCAAGTCCACTCCATTATGCAGCCTTCTTTCTGAAAAGTAAACGTTCTTTCATTGTTATACAATCCCTCCCCCCAAGTTCACTCCACTTATGTAGCCCTCATTCTGGACTCCTGTGATGACATTACCCAATCATATATCTCTTTTAAACAGTTCTCTCCCTCATCTGTTTCAGTGCGGTATAGATCATTCCTCCCCTCCTTCTCTGTCTTCCCTCTACCCCGATGTCAGTCCCGTTTTACAGCAGTTGCCCTTTGCAATATGTGTCCTTTTGTGACTGAGATATTTCACTCAGCATAATGTTCTTCAGGGTCATCCATTTTGAATAATATTTAATGAGTTCTTTGTTTTTCACTCCAGCATTGTGTGAATATACCACAGGTTCTCTATCCATTCATTTGTTGATGGTAAGCAAATCAATATAAAATCCAAATTAAATTAAAAAATATAAGAAAATTTTAGAAAAGATGGGGGGGAGGAAAAAATGGCTAAGAGATTTTTACTGAGTGTTCTTGTTCCCTCAGGTTCCAACCTAGCTTCTGAGAATACAGGAATGATTAAGACTGTTTCCTTGCCCTCAAAGACCATAGGCCTGTGAGGAGTGATTTCATATCATGTGAAGAAGAAGTGAGGCATGTAAACCGTGTCTGAGGAGAAACCACTGCTGAAAGGCCTGGAGGAGGTGACAGCTAAGCAGAGTCCTAAAGGATGAGTTAGCCACTGGAAGAGGAAGGTGGGGATTCCCAGCAGAGGAAACAGCTTGAACCAAAGCACAGAGGTGAGAAGCAGCTGTGTGAACTTGCGCAGGAAAGGGCACATGCGCTCAAGAATTTGAGATAAGCAATGGGAATAGATTACACTAAAACGTAGTCAAGGCCAGGTCATGAATAGCTTATGTATGACAATGGGAATGGCAAAAAGCAAACAACCAAAAGCACAACATTGGACATTTTCTAAAACACCTTCTGTTATAGTGTATAGTCCAGATGCCCTGGACTCAAAAAGCTTTAAAAATCTTTACTGTAAAGTGGGGGTGGGGGCAAAAATTATTGTGTCTTTCTACTTAATGTTTTATTTAATTATTAGGATTCCTAGTCTCTTTCTAACCCCAGTTGCTGTCTGCAGTGACCCCTGGTGAGTTCCTTTCCTGTCTGTGAAACTTGAATAATTTGACAAATGCTATTAGATTTCCTTGTCAGCTCATCTTTTTTGTAAAAGAAGGTTATACACTTCTCTTTTCGATGCTGAAGGCAGATAAATAATACAGAATGCTCATAGACACACATGCTTATTCCAGCATACCAGACTATGCTATGTCCAGAAATCAGACTCTTTTTGACCCTCAAAGACATGATACACATTATGTCACCAGGGCTGAAATTTATGGAACTTTCTCCTTATTACCTTCCTGCTTCCTTCATGGTATTTCCTCTGATTTACCTATCCATATTCCCCAGGGCTTAGTTCTACTGCAAATTGAAAATTCTTATCTGTCAGTGAAGAACAAAGAAGCCACACTTCAAGTACAGAATTTGATTCTCGGTGGTTTCTCTGCCCATTGATTTATCCTGTTTCACAGAGTTGCCACCACCATTTCTTATATGGGTAGTCTGACTTTAAATCTTTGGAATTTTCTGATGAAAGGTGCTGTGCATTGATAAATAACATGATAATAAGCATTTCCTCCCTGGTCAAGCTGTGATGTTTCCTCATAGTTTACTGTCTAGGCCTCATCTTTCATAAGATTAGAGAGCCCTTTGTTAGGGTCAGAATTTCCCATAAACCTGCTCAATAATTTGTTTTTGTTTGGTCTCTTTGAAAGACTACACAAAGCGATCCCTGTAAAAGGTAACACTGTCCCAAATGCTCAGAGAGGAGCCTGAGACATGCATGGGCTTAAAGTTGCTCTTTTCAGGCAGAGCCAGATGGGTAATAGTACCTCAGCTGGCTGTTTTTCAAGGTGCCCAGTCCAGAGGCTTTGCCTCTTGGAGCAGCATTTGCTTTGGAGAGTGAGTGCTTTCTAGTGAGAGGGGAGACTTTCCGCAGAGTGTGTAACGTGTCGGAACTGCTGAGCAAAAGATTCAGCAGTTCAAATCCACTACACACTCCACTGGGGAAAGATGATTCTTCTCCTCCAGCAAAAATTTACAGCCTTAGAAATCGATGGAGGGTGTCTGGAAATCTGATAGAGGGTCCCATGAGTCAGACTTGACTTGAAGGTAGTAGGTTTGGGTTTTTAGTTATTTTTTGGTTTTGTTTTGTTTTGTTTTTGGGTTTTGTTTTGTTTTGTTTTTTTTTGGTCAGGAAACCAAGGAAGGACGTAGATGGGACATGTCTCTTCAGGAGTCATAGGCAATAGAATGGGTCCCATAGACTATGCCCTCCACACCTCTGGCACCAGTGGAAATCAGCACTTGGCCCCAGGACAGAGACCAGATCCAGATGCCACGTGAAGGAGGAAGCAGGAGAGCCAGGAAAGGTGCAATTGTGAAGGTAAAGCTCTGAGTCAAAGGCTGTCAGTCTTCTCAGCTCAGGCTGCTCAGCTTTCTAGCAGCCCAGCCCTCTTCCCCCAGGCCAGGGCAGGGGATTGCTACATGGGCTTACCTGGGGAAAAACCAGAGCCTCACTTTGGCCCCTTCCGGTAATTGACACGACAGGGAGTTAGGGAGGGGGAGGGAAGAGCTTCCCTCCATAAATGGTCCCACCCCTAGGCAAGGTGGATCACTCCGGGCAGGTAGGAACAAGAGTGTGCACCTGCCACCCGTCGGGCTCAGCCAGGCTGTAAGACTGAGCAAATCGAGCAGAGGGAGTGAGTGAACCATGAACAGGTTGAAGTGCCCGAGCTTCTTCAAGTGCAGGGGCAAAGAGGTAGGGGTCTGGGAACTGCTATGGGAGGGGAGGTCTGGAAGGCCTGAAAAGGGAAAACTTAAGGGGACCATTTCTGGTTTTGCTTTTTTGTGGCTGTTATTCTTTCTCTACATCTCTGGTCACCTGTCCTGAGGGTGTCTGAGGTGTCTTTAGAGAATAAAGGGGAGAGAGAAGAATTTTATTTGTTACGTTTGGGGAAGAGGCACCTTTATCCTCTGTCTTGGCTGTGTCCACAGATTCCTGTTCTCCTCCTCTCTCCAGAATGTGTTTAGCCTTTAGGCTACGGTGGAGGGAGATAGGAAAGTATAGTGTCTTCCTGAGATTTAAGCAACATTCTTTTACCCCCAAGCAGCTAAACAGCCTTGGGAAAGAATCTCTCCCTACTCTCAGCCCCAGGTGGTGAGAGAGCTGCTCCACCGGGTGAGTCAGGCCAATTGATCTGGCTTTGACTATTATTCTTCTGTGGCTTTCAGAAAAGCACTGATTTTATTCCAAGGTAGGGAGATGGATTAAACTTTCCCTAGTTACAAACACTCAAGTGTTAGTATATAGGAAGAGGAGTCTGAGATTTCATAGTGATCCTTTTCCAGAAAGATCTACGGCAATCTCAAGATTGTTGATTTTTCTCAAATTCATCCTCAAGACTTTGGATTCCAAGACTTACTTTGCCTCCTTCATGTCCCTCTCAGTGACAGGTGAAAATATGTGTCCTGTTCACTAAAATCTGTATGATTGCAGTTAAAGGAATGGGGAGGGGGAGAAATGAAATTAAAGAATCCATCTATAGTATTTCTGCCATTTCGAACGGACCAATGGTTTAAAGTAAAAGCAGCCACCAGCAGAGATCTCACAAACTTTGGAGAGAGTTTCCCTTAGTTAAGGTTTTCAGAATTCTCTCTTTCTCTCTTCTTTCCTCTCCCCTCCCCTGCCCCTTTTTCTTTCTTCTGGTTGTCCATGAACTTGTTAAATTATGATTCTGTGGGAAATTTCATGAAAGAAAGAGAGCTATTGGTATTTTCCCTTCCCCAGAAAGTGACGGCTTCATCTGAGAATTTCCATGTTGGTGAAGATGATGAGAATAATGACCGTGGCAACTGGTCAAAGAAATCAGATTATCTTCTATCTATGGTTGGATATGCTGTGGGATTGGGAAATGTGTGGAGATTCCCATATCTGACCTACAACAATGGCGGAGGTATACTCTTCCCCAGTCCCAACTTTCCACACACCCCCGGCCCCCACCTAGAGATTTAAGTGAAGTTTTCCCAGGGTATTTTAAGAGCTGAAGAAAAACTTGAGATAGCTTGGGTTAGAGCAAAGATATTTAGGTGGAAAGATGGTCACTGTTAAAAGAGGAAAACAAGCATATCTGCAATATATTAGAGACTAAACCACTAGCTCAAGTTAGGAAACTACTTGGCTTAAAAGGATCTTCAGTTACAAACTTGATACAGTTTTCTATTTAATATTTCTGAGTTTCTACTTTAGAATCTCATGTAATCTCTATGACTTACTATTCTTTATTTATATGTGTTTCTGCAATAATCTGTGCTTAAAATGTGTTTTACTTAACTTGTAGCAGAATCAATGAAAAAGGCATAGAAAGCTAGTTCTTTTAAGAGACCCTTAACTAAGTTGTTTGCCAAAGCAGACTAAGGAATCATATTTGAAAAGTTTAGTGTGAAAGGAGTTGATTAAAAGCTAATCAAAGGCATATTATTTCAAGCTGCATTATTCAGTCACTTGGATTGCAAATTGATACTGACCACCTAGAAGATTCCACTATAATGCAACAGATTTTAGTTCAAAGTTAGGTATTGTATTCCTGCAAAATAATACTGTTTATACATTGCACATTGTTAAGATTGGCTCAATTAAAACAAAGAGAAATATTTCCAATATGACATACAAAGGGAAACAAAATGGATTGCAAAATTTGCTAGTATTGGTGAAACAACTTTTCACTTACACCATATTTTATTTACTTATAATTATGGGTTCTATTAGAAGTGTAGAGGTGACATGCCCTTATATTTCATAACTGTGTCCTAGTGAAACTGTACCACTGTAATTAGTTTTCTTGGTACAAAAGATTTTGTGTGATGATATTTTAATCTGATATCCCTATTGAATTAGTTGTATCAAAGGATTCACATTGACTTTCAGAGATTTAACAAAGGAGAGCGAAAGCACTAGGGCCTAAACAAAATTCAGAAGGCTTGTAAGGGATTGGAGGGGCGGGAACAATGGAAAAAGGAAATGCAGAGGGGGAATGGGATGAGTAATATTACATGATGGAGATTGCAACTAATGGCGCGCGCACACACACACACACACACACACACACAAACACACACGATCTGTGTTCATCAAACCTTTTATGGATTCGTGACATGATTTTCCTGTCATGTCTAGGTAGTTTAGGTTGAGTACACTACCTTAGGAATTAGGTCAACAGCATTAGCAGTTTATGTTTACATTAACAATTGATCAATTATGGATCATAACAATATGGCTGTTAATAATAATATAATGGCTGAAAAGGTGCATATAACAATAGAGTAGTCAGGTTTTTTTCCTTTAAAAATACCTTTTACTATTAGGCTGATGTTAAAGTTTACTCATTGTTGTATTTAAAGAGGGATATTTTATATTTGCTTTTCTCTATATTTTTCATTGTATGGCTTTTATTAGTCTTCATAAGGATGGTATGTGCATTGCCTCATTTATATAAACATATTTATGCCTATTGCCTAGTGACCTGCAGGGTTAGTGTTAAAGTACAGCTACTCAACTATGAGTATCTAACAAGTACTGTATTGTCTCATTACTTGAGAGTTAGGGGGAAATAGAAATCCTAGGTCTGAGGTTACAATACAATATGATGTTATAATACCATACTGTGAAAAATATTGAATATCACTCAGTTTATTTCAATACATAGCAACCCAACATGATGAGGTGGAACTCCCCAATTGAGTTTGCTTGTCTGTATTGTTTACAAAAAGGCACAGTGGTGCATGTTTAAGCACTTGTTTGCTTAATAAGAAGATTGGTGGCTATATAATTGAACTCTTACCACCCACAAACAGATGAGTTGGTATTGTTGTTTCATTGGCAGTTAAGTAAATTGCGCCAGATCACAAAAGTGGTAAATGGTGGAGGCAGAATTTTATTTGGTTCCATCTTACTACAAAGTCTTCTCTAGATTACTTTATAGTTTGTAGACTGTTGATAAAAAAACTCCCATCAGTCTTAGTAACGTCCTCAGTTTATAGATGAGGAATCCAAGGTTTACAGAATCAACTACTTGATCACAGAATGTTACTAATTTGCTATTCAGATCCACCCTGAATCTATTATATCCAAATGCTTTAAAAACATTCTGCTGGTTATCAAAATGCAGTCAAGATCTTGAGATGTAATTGTGACTCTCCCCTCCCTTTTCTCTTGCAGGTGCCTTCTTGATACCTTATGCAATTATGCTAGCACTGGCTGGTCTACCTTTGTTCTTCTTAGAGTGTTCACTGGGACAGTTTGCTAGCTTAGGTCCAGTTTCAGTTTGGAGGATTCTTCCATTGTTTCAAGGTTGGTATCAAAATGGTTTCTTCATTATCTATTCTTCATTGATCTACCAATGTGCTGTCTTTACTCTGTGAGAGAAAAAATAGTATTTCTAATTTGGACATGCATTGTTCCAGGAGAGAAAGAGAAGAAGATGGGCAATCTCATCCCATATGACCTATAGCCTTTGAAAACCAACTTGGAGGGTCATCTATGAGTTGATTCAGACTCAACAGCAATGAGTCTGAGGTGTTTTGGTTTTGGGTTTGTGTTTTGTTTCTGTGGGATTTTAAAAAATTTAATTTTTTTAAGACTGAGAAGCATATATTGTCACTTTCCTGTATAGTTCACCCCTGTGGTATTTAAACATCTTTATTTGTTGTGATGCATAGCTAGTAATCAGAAAGGCACCACTCTGAACAGCCCATGGATGACCAAGAAAAAGAATAGATATGTGTTGAAGAGGGTGCAGCAGGAATGCTCTTTGGAGGCAAGAATGATGAGGCTTTGCCTCAATACTTTGGACAAATTGCTAGGAGGTGCTATTCCTTGGGGAGGGACATGATGTTGGGAAGGGTGGAAGGTGGATGAAGGAGAGGAAGATGCTCAACCCGGTAGATTGACATGGTGACTGCTGCAATGGGCTTTTGTGTGTCAGGAGATGTTTGGATGGCACAGGACAGGACTGGGTTCAGATCTTTTGTTCATAAGGTTGCTATGAGTCGTACTTGACTCGATGGCATTTAACAACACAGAGATGAAAATTACCCTAGTGTCCATCAGTGGACAAAGGGTTAAAAATACTATGATCTATGCACACAAAGGAGAACTATGCAACAGTTAAGAATTATTTAAAAATTTGATAAGCACTGCATAACATGGCTAAATCTAGAGCACATAAATCTGAATGAAGTAAGGTTATCGAAAATTGTATATTATTATTATTATTAAAAGCTAAAGAATGGTTTATACACAGAATAATTCTTGGATGGTTACCAAGGATGTAAGGGGAGGAAGAAAGGAATAAACATTAGTAAATAGAAAATAGACATATTAAGACGTGTGAAGGAAAAGGCAACATATAATAACAAGATGATAAAGAATTGTGGATATAGTAATTGAAAAAAATATTTTAAGAGTTCCAGCTTCTACTGGCACAGAGATTGTACTCAACTCAATGGCACCTAAGAACAAAAAACCCAACAATTTGTTGTGATATATTTTAATTTTTTTATCAGCTTGCATATTAGTGTACATTGTGTTTTATACAATTATTCATATATGTTGTATTTTATTTAATTGCTTTTGATCTATGCCTATTATTACCCTATCTCTTCAAGTTCCCATTGAATCTTTCCTACTCCTTCACCTCCCCATCCACTTTCTACCTTCTGCTAGTCCAATGATTTTCTCTCTTCTCATCCCTCCCTTTCTCCTTCCCCCTTTCTTTTCCCCTTCTGAGCATATAGATAAAAATTTTTTTTTCTGGTTATCCAGGACTGTGGATATGTCTTGAGTGGTCACGGAGGAGATTTGAGAGGGTTGTAAGGGTTTCCTTAGTTTCCTATTATATCTGTTCAAATTCTCTTGACAGCATTAACTCTATGCCTCTAGTTTTTTCTGACTTCCTATGAAGTCATTGTCTTAGTGTTTTTGCAGAACTTTCACAATACCTGATTCATAAAAGTTGAAGGACAGGCCACTATCCTTGAGGGGGAGGAGGAAGCTTGATTGTGATTAAAATTCAGACTACCTTTCTGTCTGAAGATTAGATACCACTTTGATATATGTACCAGCTGCTGAAAACTATTTGTAAAAACCTCAGTGTGACATAAAAAATAAGTTTGTAATGACTTGAAGAATATTGTGCTGGAATATTGCAGAAGCTATCCCAAAAAGTTAGTCCCAAGAATAAGAGTTATATGCAGCCTCTGAAAACCTGCTGGAGAGTCAGTTATAATTCAGTCCCAACTTGATGGCACAGAACAACACATGTTCTTGTGAACATATTATCCTTTCAAAACATTCATTTTCTGTGTAATAAATTGTTTATTAAGGAAGATGTTGCTGCTGTTGTTATGTGCCGTCGAGTGGCCTACGGCCCTATGTACAACAGCTCTGAAACCTGCCCTGTCCTGAGCCAGTACCATATCAATCTATCTCATCCAGGGTCTTCCTCTCCTGTGCTGTGCTGTCCCTCCACCCCTTCGAGCATGATGTCCTTCTCAAATGACTGGTCACTCCTGGCCAAGTGCCCAAAGTATGTGACATGGAGTTTGAAAATCCTAAGTGTTGATTTTTAAGTAATGATAGGAGATTTCAATTGTTTTTCCGATTATAGTGTCCATCCTTCCTGATAAGAGTTGGTAGACAGTGTAAGAAACAGTAATAGGCATGAGTTTTTTCTGTTACTTGTTCTGTCTTTGGTCTTAAGATCTTTTACTAGTTATATGAAAGTTTATCCCCTAATAAAAAGCAACTATGACAATAAATTTTAAATTTGATTCAGACAAAACTCCCTACAGTTACTGGAAATTACCTTTTCAATTTTTTTTTTTTTATGGAATTGGTGGTTCAACATTTTTTTTAATTAACAAAGGAAAAGGAATTTGTTTTTCTTTTCATTGTTCTCTTTTTCAGGTGTGGGAATCACGATGGTCTTGATATCCATTTTTGTGACTATTTATTACAATGTCATAATTGCCTATAGTCTTTTCTACATGTTTGCTTCTTTTCAAAGTCACCTACCATGGGCGAATTGTTCTTATTGGTCAGATGAAAAATGCAGTAGATCACCTATAGGTAAAAATGTTTGTTTATTTTTTAAAGAGTGTAAAATTCACATTATCCTTTTCTATTGTCTAAATAAACTCAATGAGTAAAATTCTCAAACCAGTTTAGATGCAATTTTAAGTGGGCCGCAAAGCAGAATAAGACATGTATTATCTTAAAAGTGATTAAAATGCAGCAAGTTAATCTGAGGCCAGAAGGTTAAGGAGTATCTAAGGGTACTTATTTCAGGCCCAAGACAAAGGTGATAGAGAGGGAAGAAAACCCTACAAAGATACTACTTATAACAGGAGCAGGAGTAATGGGGTAAATGTATTCAGAGACAGTGAATTGGCTCAGGGTAGGGCAGGTTCAGAACTATTGTGCATAGGGTCAGCTAGAGGACACATAACAATAACAACACATAATAGCAGCAGCCTCAAGTAATAGTCAATTTTATCTATTTTGCTAATTTTTAGGATAATGTTGCACCAATATTGTAAACTACTGCCTCTAGAATTATAAAGGTTTACTCTATCTTGGAAATTTTAAGAATGTCACCTCATCTATACAGCTACATAAACTCACATTCTAAAAGTTACTTAGCATACTAAATCCCAACTGAAACAACTTTTACTCTATAGCTTTTACTACTAGAAACATGATCACAGTTTTAAAAGGCAGATATTTTCATACTTAATCCTAGTTTAGTAATAGAGAAGATTTAAGATGTTGAATTTGGATGGTTTATTCTATGTGTAAGATTCATACCCCAGTTTCACCAAGGAAGAATTTAGGCAGTCATTGAAATATTTTATCATGCATTGTTTTCCAGTAAAGTGCTCTTTTAAAACTAAATATGTTCATTGTGTGTATTTATAAAAATCCCTTTTAGTAACTCATTGTAACGTGAGCACAAAAATGGGTGAGGACATCCAAATGAATAAAAGCTGGGTAGACTTCAACAACTATACTTGCATCAATGGCAGTGAGCTTTATGAGCCAGGACAGCTTCCCAGTGAACAATATTGGAAGTAAGTATATTGCATGATCTATTTCTTAAACAGATCCTATTAACTAGTTTTGTAAACAGTACTGATCAGCCATTTCTTAACTCAATTAAGAAAAGAGGGGACCCTGGGTAGAGTAAAACTGCCCTACGGGATTTTCTAGGCTAAAATATTTCTAGCGACAGTCTTTTCTTCTGGGAATCACTAGTGGCTTTGAACCATCAACCTTTTGATGTAGAGTATTTAATCACAGCACCACCAATATTCCTTGCAAAATTAGTTCATAGTCAATAATTTCTCATGTATAGTTATTAAATGGACACAAGATCGTCAATGATGACTTATTTAGTGACAGCTAGCTATAAGTTAGGGTCCTGCTTTGAAGGGAACAAAATGCAATTTTAGGCTGTAACAATGGTTTAATGGTATGTAGTTGAAAGATGAGTAATTTTGGGGGAGAAACTACTATTTAAAGCTGCAATTTCCCATTACTGATTTGTTGACAAAGGCCATTACTTAGTAAGTATAGATAGTTTGGCTTAAGTTTAATTTCACAAGCTTGAAACAATTTGTAGGTACCTGTGATTTTTAGTTGCTGTGGAGTCAATTTCTATGTATTGTTATCATCCAACTGCTTTCATTCTCCCATTGAAGTTAGCTCTTCCACAATCACATGTTATTGCCTTTTGTGGTTCGTTTTGTGTTTGAATCTTGAAATGCTCCCAAACATCGTGTGCAGAATTAGCTCAAGTCTCTAGTGAAAATGCTCGAATTTTACAGAAAACCTCTGGAAAAAGGTGTATAAATAACAAAACCATTTGGATGTGGTGATATCCAAAAATGTAATGAAAATGCAAAATATTTAATAGAATTTTAAATATGTTCTCCATCATTTTACCTTCAGAAAAAAATTACAATGAGCCAATTGAAGCACTTAAACATAAGGTTCATTTTTAAATCTAGAAATAGGCTTTGAAATAACCAGAGACAAATTTAAAATGATAGAATTTTTTTGTTCTGGGTTGTTGAACTTTGGATTGTTGCAATTAACCTGAAAGTTTGTATGCTTAGCTATTTAATAAACTATGTTTTACACCTCCATAAATAAAAAGCTCACATAACTTTCAATTTATAAAAGATGTAAGACTTATGAAGTAGCCTACCATCTAGATAAAAGGTATTAGAATATTATATATTAAAAATAATATATACTGAATATATATTAATAGATAAAAAGTAATATATTTTAAAAAGGACAAGTGTTTCTGAGTTTATAAAATGACTTGTATGTTTTCAGCAAAGTGGCGCTCCAACGGTCAACTAGCATGGATGAGACTGGAGTAATTGTGTGGTATTTAGCACTTTGTCTTCTACTGGCATGGCTTATAGTAGGAGCAGCACTGTTTAAAGGGATCAAATCATCTGGCAAGGTATTTTAGAAAACCCTTTAGATAATAATGTAGCTATTTTCCCAATGTCAATGCTCAGAGAAATTATATACTTTATTTTTTTCACTTAACGAGGAAATGAAAATGTGTGAAACGCTTTCCATTCATTCTAAGTAGACAATCTGGTTCCAAGTAACTATTTATTGTTAAAAACTAAGCAAAACAAAACCTAATTGTAGAGTTACCCAGTCATGCAAACTCTTGGACCTTTATAGCTGCTCCAACAGTCTGACACTTGAGGGTATATTTTTAAATTTTCTGTTGCTAAGACAGGTTATTCCTTGAAGAGAAACATCATGCAGGGAAGATGGAGGGGTGGTGAAGGAGAGAAAACCCCCAAACCGGGTGAATCAACACAATGACTGCAGCAATGGTCTTGAATGCTTCAGATATTGTGAGAATAACACCGGATAAAATAGGGCTCAAATCAGTTGTTCATAGGATCAGTTATGTAAAAATACTCAACTTTATATCATCTAACAACAACAGTCCTAAAGGAGCTCTGGAGTTTTAGTGGCAAGGAATTTACTGCCCAACAAAAGGCAGGCAGTTGGAATACATAAGCTCTTCTGAGTGAGAAAGATGAGCAATCTCTTTACATGTGATTTGCAGCCTCTGAAACCCTACTGGAGGGTTGGTAGGCTATGAGTTGATCCCAACTTGACAGTACATAAGAACAACAAATATATAAGGGGAAATGTTAAAACAGATAAGACATTGTAATATTTGCTTTGAAAATCTCATAATCTTTTATATAGAGAGACAAAGATGTCAGGACTCCACTGAGAAGAGAAAAAAAAATTGTGCCATGCAGTCAATTATTTAAGTTAAAGCTTATCAAAGTCGACCCAGAACCATTTCTCTCAGAAAACAAGGCTTATTGAAGAAAAAAATACTGTGCTGTATTTTTTTACTTTATTTTATTTTTTACATTTTCCAAGAAAGAGCATGATGGCAATTTTAGAATACAACACAGAATTTTCTCTGTGAGAAATTATGCATTTCCTAGAACAGGACATAACCATGAATACAATTTTTTTAAATTCTTTGTACATTCTCTGATACAATCCATTAGTGGTGAAATGTAATGAGCCATGACATTACATGAAAAAATATTGTAAATATCACAAACCCAGTGGAAGCATTCCAAATAATTTTTTAGTTGCGTTTTTAAATTTCTTTTGTTCTTTTTGATATTAATATGGAAATAATCCATGGAAGGCCATTTACCTAGGGGATGAGTTTTTACTGGTTGCAAAATTACTTGTTTCAATAATTTCCTTGAGTATGTTATCAACCATAGGACATACTGGATCAACTAAACCAATCACTTTCATGAAAAACCAGTCTCTATGGCAGTCTATTTACCAGGGAACATGTATTATCTGAGATAATAGTATAGTAATTAGATGTTGTGGAATCAGACTCAATAATAGCTTTAAGGATAATAGTAGAAGTGTCCAGCTGTTGTTGTGTGCTATTGAGTCACCTGCGACTGATAGCAACTGTCTGTATAACAGCTCTGAACCCTGCCTTGTCCTGAGCCAGTCTCACTGACTCTGACATACCTAATGCCATTGCCCTAAGTTATGGTGTCAGCCCATTTTATCTGGAATCTTCTTTACCCTTCTAAGTATGATGTCCTTCCTCCAGTGACTGGTCCCTCCTGGCCAAGTACCCAGTAGTCATTTTCTTTTTCTTTTATATTGGTTTGGTGTTATTGTTGATTGCCTTCAAGTTGAGCACAACTCATAGTAACCCTATGAACAAAAGGCCTGAAGCCCCTCAGCAACTATCAACATTTATCAAAGTTCATAGAGTTTCTGGAGGCATGTTATTAGGAAGTAGATGCCATTCCTGCTTCCAAACCTGTCATAGTACGTTATGTGCCATCTAGTTGCCTGCGATGTACAGCAACCCTATGTACTCCTGTCCTGAGCCAGTCTCACTAATTCTGACACACCAAACCCCATGGCCCCAGTTACTGTTACCAATCCATCTCATCGGGGTCTCCCTCTTCATATACACTGTGTATCATTCATGTACATTGTGTTTCACACATTCCTATATTCACATTGTGTTTCAAATGATTAGTCATGTACATTGTACTTTATACAACACTGGTTGGGGTGTGTCTGAAGGAATTAGGAATGATCCAATTGGAGCCTGAAAAGATAGGTTAATAGTAGGTATTGAGCCAATAGTAATTTTAAAGAGTTTTCATGGGATTTGAATATATGCTAAGAAATTATTTTTACCTACTTAAGGACTGAATATGTATTAACTACTCCAGGGTTTAAAATAATTGCCCTTCTTACTTTAATGCAATAACTTATGTTGTTATATACTATTGAGAGGAGAGATTTGAACTCTCAGATATCAGTAAGGATATATTTGGAAAACTCTCCAGCTAGATCCTAGATTATCACTACTGATGTATATGTTGTTTATTTACATCAAGAACCTGGGGAATACGACTTCTTACATCAGTATGTCTTTTAAAGGGATCATTTGAATGTAGCAAGAGCAAGAGAAAAATGTACAAACTTTGGTACTGGTGTCATCAGATTTATTAATAGCCATGTGAAATTTCCACTACTTTTAATTAATAAATCTCAACTGTCTAATAATTTTATTTGTATATAACTAACTAAGTGCTTTTACAAGAACCTCTAACTTGTGCTTATCTTTCTTGATAGGTGGTATATTTCACAGCACTTTTCCCATATGTTGTCTTACTCATCTTGTTAATACGAGGGGTAACTCTGGAGGGTGCATCAAAAGGCATTTCCTACTATATTGGATCACAGTCAAATTTTACAAAACTTCAGGAGGCAGAGGTAAGAAATCTAACTTGGATTTAAAATTATCTGAGGAGGCCAATCTTAAAAAACTTTTTAAAATTTTAAATTTCATGTGAGTGTCCGTGTAGTCAGTATTAGCTTCAAAAATGTGCAGTTAATTTTATTTGTGTTTCTACAAGGAGCTCTGGTGGCCTAGCCCAAGCTTAAATCTACCAGCTGCCCCAAGGGAGAAAGATGGCCAGTCTCCTCCCATGAAATTTACAACCTCTGAAAACCAGCTGAAGAGCTGGTTGTGATTCTAAAGCATGTAACGATAACATCCACAAGGTTGCCAATCCATAGACTTACTCTATCTCTTATAGTAATTTTTGTGATTTGAGTGAAAGTTTACAGAGAAATTTATTTTATATTCAACTATTCATGAACATTTTGTTCTATGACATTAATTATAATTCCCACACTGTAATGGGAATGCTGGTAGCCTAGTGGTGAGAAGCTACACTGTAATCCCAAATTCATGAGGTTTGAATCCACCAGCTGCTCCTTGGGAGAAGGATGGCTAATTTAATCATGTGCAATTGACTGCCTCTAAAACCAGCTAAAGGACCAGCTATGGGTTCTGACTAGGCAGCAAATGACAACAACAACACTAATGGGATTTTTCCAGGGGATAAACCTCAGAAGGCAGGAAGGGATAGGATGAAATGATGAATGGAAACAAGAATCACAATAAGCAGGAAGAAAGTCATACTCTCACACTGGACATGATAAAATAAAAAACTAACCATAAATTTAAAAGCTACTGTATTATTAATGTAATAGAATAATTTGAACACAAATATTTTGGAGTTATGAATATAAAAAAATTAGTATTTCATACATAAATACCTTCAAATTGATGATTGTAGTTGTTCATTGCCAGGGGCAATCTCCTCCTGTGCAATTCACTGTCTTTGAAATCCCACTGGAGTGTCAGCTATGAGCTGGTTCCAACTCAATGGCACACAACAACAATAACAACATGTTGACATTATATACTGGATTGAACTACTACTATTAGCTTTATACGGTAGCTGAAAGTTTAATGGTCTGCTACACAATTCTTAACTGTTACTTTCCCCGAAAGAAGAACTTTTTGCCTAGTGAATTATGAAGTTCAAACACAAATTTGACATAGATAAATAATTCCATGGACAAAACTATGAATTGGGCGATCTTTTAACTTTATTCCCTCTCTAAATGATGTTTATGTATCTAGCATGGGTACATACAGTCTTGTACAATTTTGACTTCAGAAAGCATTAATGATAAGTATAATCTAAGAAGGATTTTATGTTTTTAGTGTTACATAATTTTCTTGGTTTGTACTGAACTTGTGATAAACTAAAACCCCATGATCATCTTCATGTTGAAATCAAGATACATTGTTAATATTAGCTACTATTCAAGTATTCAAAACAGAGATTAGTTTTAGCCTGCTGCTATAGTTATCTTTGTGGAATTAGTGTTAATTTTTAACTTTTACTCTATTCTAAATAACTATAAAATATTTTTTACCTTTTTCTTGTAGAAATTTTCTGACAATGTGTAGTTTATCAATTTATAAATTTGATGCTTTTTGAAAATTGAAATGTCAGTCTCTTGTCCTTAATTACAGTTCCTGATGTTTGTAATAATTTTCATTCTATCATTAACTACAATAACTGTAAAATATTTTAAAATTTTCAAATTTCATAATTCTAGGCTTAGAGATTGACATTGCTTTATGTATTCAATACTCTTAGTTTCATGTATTCTTAGTTTATTTCTTGACTTTTCTTTTTTTTAAATTTTTTTAATGTTATTATTTTTGGGTGCGTGTACCGTCAAATCAGATCTGACTGGTACAGGAGGAGACTGTCCCTCCTTCCCTGGCAGAGCATCTGGTGGACTTGAACCGTTCGCGTCTGGGATTGTAGTTGCAGCTCCTTGCCACTAGGCCACCAGAGCTCCCCATATTTCTTGACTTTTCTTGGGTTTCAGTCTTTTTAGTCTTGTTGGTTCATCTATTCTCAATTTGAAGATCATTTTCAGTGTCGAATAAGAAAAAAATAAAATAGATGTTGTTATTTGTCATTTTCTTAGTTATTAAGATAAAATATGTTCATATATGTTGGAAAAGATAATCTACTATAGAAATATGAACTGATACATAATTATTTCAATTGTTAATGTTATAGTTGTGACTTTCCCTAAGAAGTGGACCTGTATATATTTTAAAATCTCATAACTTTGAGCATAGCAGTAGTTCTTTTGTTGTTGTTGTTGTTGCATATTGTCAAGTTAGAACTGATTCATAGCTGACCCTCCAGTGGGTTTTCAAAGACACCAATGAGCATGGGAGGTGACTTACCATCTTTCTCACAATGAGGAGCTGGTGGATTCAAACCACAGACATTTGCATTGGCAGGATAATTGCTTAAAACTAAGACACTAGAGCTAAAGTTATTTTATTTGTATCTAAATGGCTTTTAACGTGCCCTGGTGGTGTAGTGGTTAACCTAAAGGTCCTCTTTCATTTTACAGTGGAGAAACAGACCCAGAAAAAACATTAAATATAATCAAGTTTACATAACTAATATATGTATCTTGAAATTAAATATCTTAATCCCTAGTTTAGTAATCTGGTATACACCTACAGGATTGGCAGCTATGCAGGTGATGTATATTAAAAAGGCTTGGTATTTCTCTTCACTTTTATTTGCAGCCTAGATCATGGTATGCAAGAGTATTAAAAAACATTCTTACACAATCCAGGCCCACACCCACTTTTAGTTCCCTTACAGAATAAAAAGCAAAAGAGGTACACAAACCAACAAAATACAGTATTTACTTCTCAGTGTGAAAAACTAACCAAGAAATAAGACGTTATTATATTTGAGTGAAACAAACCTCATCTATCTATCTACTCATCCAACTTGCTTCATATTGGCTCCTGTCATTATAGGCAATTATAGTGTGATGATAATCTGAATGATAAAGAACATTTCTTTTAATCTATAAGAACTTTGCTTCTGTTTAAATTAGAAATGGATTCTATATATTTCAAGAGAAAAATATTTTCAACTTTCAAATAAGAAACTGAGTATCAGCTACTATAACAGTGGTAGTAGTTGTTGAGTACCTTTGAATTGGAACCTATCCATAGCTGACCCTCCAGCGGGTTTTCAGAGGCAGTAAGTCACATGGAAGGAGATTCCCAACCTTCTCCCACAGAGCAGCTTGTGGATTCAAACCACATGCCTTTGGGATTGCAGTGCAGCTTCTTACCACTAGGAGCTAACATTAAACCAGCTATGTGCTTTCATTTGTTATTTCATTCTCATATCTGTAGGATGCTATTATTGCTACTATCTTCATTTTAAGGATGAAGAAACATGCCGAGGTTAAAGACAAAGACACAGACTTGACATTTTATTATTTCAGAGCTAGAACTCTATTCAAATATTGTATTTTATTGCCTGACTTTCACTGATCAGTCTTGTTTCAAAATGGACTAAAAAAAGATATATTTACCAAAATATATGACAGCACTTTTAGTTCACATTTGCACCATTATATTTATGCTTTGTGGCTAATGAATTAATGCAGATTCATTTCTGAGATTATTTTAATTATTATTATTTAACAAAAACATTGTTGTTGTTATGTGTCTTTGCGTCATCTGCGACTCCTAGCAACCCTATGCTATGATAGAACCTTGTCCTATCCTGAGCCAGTCTCACTGTCTCTGACACATCTACCCCCATTGTCTATGTTACTGTGTCAATCTATCTCACCTGGGGTCGTCCCTTTCCCCTTCTAAGCATGAATGGGGTAAATTACAAAAAGTAGAACTATAGGAGGAGGATTAGATGAAGTGTATGGAGGACTACTTAAAGAGATGAGTCCAGCAACTTGAAGGAATCAAAACCAAGAGCTGGATGAGCTCAAAAACAAAAAGAAAACTTACTCCCCTTGTGTTGATTCCAGTTCTAACTCTTAACTCTTTACAGCCCATCTTTCCCCAAGGGAGCATCTGTTGGATTTGAGCCATTGACCTTCGGATTAGCAGCTTACCACACTATACAACCAGGAATCCTTCAATGATTTCAGGAGTATCTAAATGGTCATTAGTCTTAATAGACAGCCTAGTACTATGTTTATTAAGAATGAATACTTTTTTATTGACCACTCTAATTGGAGATACAGAGCCAATAGATTGATTCCAAATAAATTTTCCATCATGATTCCAATCAATTTCCCATCATAGTTCCCATCATTTTTTTTCCTGTGGAAATCAAAAACTTAAAAATATATACAGAAATGGAAATGACCAAAAAGCCAAGGCCTTTCTGAAGAAATGAGGAGGACTTGTCCTACCAGACACAAAGCCATATTATAATGCTATGGTAATTTAAATGGCATATTGTAATGCTATGTAGACCAGTAGAACAGGATAGCGGTCTCAGAGAGAGATTCAGAAACATGTAGGCCTTGGCATGTGGCAGAGGCTACAGTGGAGAGCAGTGGGAAAAAGATGTTCTATTCAATAAATGGTCCTTGGACAACTGCTATTCCTTTAAGGAAAATGAGGATGTTTCCACATCTTAATATGCATATTATCAACTGCAAATGAATTACAAATTCAGCAATATTTAAAAAACCTTTGAATCACTTAGAAGAAAATATAGGACAGTATTTTTATCATCTTAGGCTAAGGCTTTCCAGTAAGAGAGATCAAAAACAGTGAGTGATCTAAAAACAATGATGAACACAGTCACATTGAACAAAACCCAAACAAAATGTTTGTTTCTCAAAGGAAAATTCAAAGAAGTAAAAAAAAAATTAAAAAGCCACAATTTAGAGGGATGGGGGAAACCCCTTCCATATGTATAAGAGAGAAAGGATTGGAATCCAAGTTAGATTTAAAAATTTGCTAGAAATTAATTAGAAAAAGGCATATACTTAAAATAAAAATTTACAAAGGATATGATCAAGGATTTAAGCAGACTAAAATAAGCACATGAAAATATACAAAGACTTATAAGTAATTAGGGCAACAAAATGTAAAGCTCATTTCACAGACATTAGATTTGGACCACATTAAAAATTCTCACCAAGTTTTCACAAAGATGTGGAGTAATGGAAACATTCAAATAGTGCTGGTAGGAGTAACAAGTAGGAGAAGAATTTACAAAATTTAGTAAAATAAGAGGATGTATATACTCTATAACACAGACATAGGAAGAGCAAAATATTGTGAACAACATAAAAATCCAGCAATAGTAGAAAGGATTAAGTGTGGGTACACATAGTGTTAAAGTAATGAAAAAAAATATCTAATTATGTATGTTTTAGTAAGTCACATGAATTAGTCTACATTTTTCACTTTTCCTTACACAAATGGAAATTTCATATGGTTCTACTTGATAATAGGTGCATTTCATATACAATACTGAATGAGAGAAACAATTTAGGTAAGTTTACATGCACTAAGATATTATTTCTAGAAGTTCAAAAGCATGCAAAGCCAAATAATATACTGTTTAAGTGTGCATTCTTATGTAGGAAAACAGTCAGGCTAGCAGTTACCACTAAATGGTAGGAAGGTGATATGATCAGGGAGGGACACACTGTGGTTGTGTAGTATCTAGTCAGAACATTTTCAGAGGCAGTTAAGTACAGGGGAGGAGATTGTTCATTCTCCAAGCAGGCCTCATAGAAGCTTCAAGACTGATGGCACAGGTCAAACTATTTCTTAAGCTGGGTAACAGGTAATTAAGAGATCATGTTGTTATTATTTAAAACGTATGAGATTATATATATATATATATATACAATACAAGTGAAAATTGAGAGTGTATCCTTCTAATTAATCCATGCTTTTCTCTTACAGGTTTGGAAAGATGCTGCCACTCAGATATTTTACTCTCTCTCCGTGGCTTGGGGTGGCTTAGTTGCTCTATCATCTTACAATAAGTTCAATAACAATTGCTATTCTGATGCGATTGTAATCTGTTTGACAAACTGCCTCACTAGTGTGTTTGCTGGATTTGCTATTTTTTCTATATTGGGGCACATGGCTCATATATCTGGAAAGGAAGTCTCCCAAGTTGTAAAACAAGGTATGTAACATCATACTTTATCAACTTGGGTTAATTCAGTGCAGCTCACTTAAGAAGTTCACATAATTCATAGAGATTTACTTAGGCTACTCAGGATTTAAGTTATGCCTTTTCTTTCTCTTTTCTTTTCATCTCATGTAAGTTGGTTCTTTTAATAATAGAATAATTCTCGTATGTAGGGAAATAGTAGCTTAAGAAGACACAACTTCACAGATTTTGTTTAGCCCTTTAATGGATCACTTACTACACTATTCTAAATATCAGACATCACACTAAGCACTATACACTTATGTTCATATTCATGTATATAAACACATATATATTTGAATGTATATTTCTATGTATATATTATATACATTTATATTTTCCCTCATGAGCAATTACAACTGTACAGTTACAGTCTTGGCTTTAAATTTTAAAAACAACACATCAATATCACATAGATCAAAATCCAAGTGTCTTTGAATATACAGAGCTGTGTTCAACTTTAAAGGAATCTGATTAATGAACCTCCTAACTTTAAAGACATTATCTAGGAATAATTAATTATCTGGGTAAGGATTCTTAAGAATTTGAGTTCTTTTAAGTAGGAGTTCCTTGTTAATTTTTTATTTACAGTTATTATCACTTAATGGAAAGACTGAAGAATGTTAATAAAATGTCAGTCTTAGAAAGGTCCCTGGTGATTATCTAGTGTTTAAGTACTCATTTATAGAGGAGTGAATTAATGTTGAAATAGAACAGAAATATTATATGCTGTGCAGAAAGTCAAACAATTAGCAAGTGAGAGAGTCTATTTAAAAACAAATTACCAACACAACAAACATGAATGGACATGAGAATTTCAGGGAGGAAGTGGGAAGAGTGCTGGTCAATGTGAGGATTGTGGCTAATGTCATAAAATAAAACATATATGAATGGTTGAATGGAAAACCAGTTTGCCTTGTAATCTCTCACTTAAATCAGGAAAAAGTTTTAAAATTTTTTTAAAAAAAAACCAACATCTCCACTGTTGTGGGGTTGATTGTGTGGGATCTCTTGGCAACTCCATTGCACACAGTATAGCTGCCCCCTGAAGTTTCTAAGGCTGTAAACTTTGGCCAATAGTCTGCCATATCTTTCTCCTAAGAAATGGATGCTAGGTTCAAACTGCTGACTGGTTGGTTGGCTGCCAAATGTTTTACCCATTATGCCACTGGTGCTTTGTGTGTCTTTACCACTACTGTCATATTGGTTCCAATTCATAGTGACCCTTCACTGGGTTTCTAAGATTTTTAATCTTTACAAGAAGATATTACCTATCTTTGTCCCATGGAGCAGCTGGTGGATTCAAACTGCTGACCTTTTATAAAGCTGGGCAATGCATTATGTTCTGCACCACCAGTGCTCCTTGATAGAACCTATAATAGAAACTAATCCTTCTGAAGGCACAAGGTTATAGAAGAAACTTAAAAAAATACTTCAATCTAAGGATCCTATAAAAGAACTTGATTGAAGAAAAAGTATCTATAAAAGTGTCTCTAACCATGGACTTTCAGAGAATGAACAAATTTTTTCTTGGAAAAGGTACAGCTAGAGTGCTCCTTAGAAGCAATGTTGGTGAGGAAAAAAAGTCTCACTTATTTGGAGCATATTATCAGGACTTGTCCTTCCTCTGCTTTGCTTAGAAAAGTAGAGTGTCTGTGAAGGAGAGGCAGACCCTCAAAGCGATGGATTAACAAAAAGATCTTAAGAATAGAAGAAATTGTGAGGATGGTACAGAATCAGATAAGGTCACTGTGCGTCAGAGCTGACTCCCTGCCATCTAAGAACCACAAGGTTATATAATTTAAGTTTCTGAAGTTTAAGAGAGTTTTTAATCCTTCATTAATCTTAAAACAAATGAAAGCAGCCAAATATTACCATTCAAACAGGTAAGATATCTTGAGAAACGTACCACATATAAAGTTTGTCTCACTAGCTTAATCCATGTCACATGTAATATTATCATTCTGTACAACCACAAAAACAAATGTTTGGAAAGTGAAACAGTTGGTGAAAAGTATATATTTTAGATGAGGTTGTTAGTGCAAAATGAAATTGGTCGAGTTTCCCCTTTTGAAGATGGAGAGCTGCAAGTTTTTATCGGCAAATAAAATTCATTATCATAAATTTCTCTTAGGTTTTGATTTGGCATTCGTTGCCTATCCGGAAGCTCTAGCCCAACTACCAGCTGGCCCGTTTTGGTCCATATTATTTTTCTTCATGCTTTTGACCTTGGGTCTTGACTCTCAGTTTGCTTCTATCGGTGAGTAATATTCTTAGTGTTCAAATATCCCTCTGAAATTTTAGACATGTCTCCTCTTACTTGAACACATCATTTTCTTCTTACCTCTGTAGATTCTTCCAGCTGTTTCTCTTAGAATTGGATTCCAGAAAGATTTTTAGCTTCTAGTATATATAAAATCACAAAGTACCCAGGCACATTTGACACTTCCAATTTGACATATTAATATTTTATCATATTTGCTTCAAACTATTTTTAGGGAAATAAACTGTTAGAGATGAAATTTGAAATCTCCTATGTAACCATAAATAAGATACATTTTAAAAATTTCTCAGAAATGTGAAGTATCTAGCATTTATTTATCCTGACAGTTGTTTTTATTTTTATATGGGTTATTAATTTATGTTGGCAGACATACATACACATGCATATGCACATATATAACTCTACTTTGTTGACAATGTTTGTTGATATAGTGGCGGACATTTGGATTATTTCCAATTTATTCTTATTACATACTACTGCAATTACTATCCTTAAACACTGCTGTATATATCTAGGATATTTCCTAGAGTATATGACTAGAAAATTCAGACAATTTTCATCATCTAACTTCTTGCATAAAACATATTCATACTGTCTTCTCTATAAAGAACAAAATGCAGATACTCTGTATGACTTTAAATACCCTCTAAAATCTGAAACACAATTCTAAATCTTTTTCATAACTTTCTCCCTTAGCTAGTTCCTTATTCCATTAACAAGTTTATTTCTTTAATACAGAATGTCTGTCTCTGTATCTTTTATTCAAATATTCACTTTATTCTCCAATTAGAAGTCATCTTTACTTTCAGCCCTCTTTTAAACTCTTTCAGCCCGGGTAGGCTTGTTACCATACAGTAGCTACCAATAAAAGACCTAAAAAATAAAAAACCAAGTGGACTTCATATAATTTTCATCAGAAGAATTAAGGGCTGACTGTGAGAAGGAAACTATGGATATTTTTAAAACTTATTTTTGTTTTTTATGGTTTACGTACAAAATCTATATACATTGTGTTTAATTAATATACATCATATCTCACACATACCCTCATTGACAATGTTTTTCATATGATCATACCCACACATTGTGTTTTATAAAATCAATCAGCATTAATCTATATTAACCTATAGATTTCTAAATTCCAAAGCATATTCTCAAAATATATTTGCAAATTTGATGTACAAAGTTTGAGTAATAATTAATCTTACTGTCCAAGAAGTTGGTGTGTAATACGGCTCCTATTTTCTCCTCCCTCCAAAGAGACAATTACAACGACGATTCAAGATTTATTTCCAAATTTGATGAAGAAAATGCGGATTCCTGTAACTCTGGGTTGCTGTTTGGTTTTATTTCTCCTTGGTCTCGTCTGTGTGACTCAGGTAAAATACAACGTTATTTAATAGACACAGTATTAGTTGGAATATATTTTATAATCTGAATGAGAAAACCAAGGTCCAAGAGGATGTTTAAAGCTGTGATTCCAAGTATGTCTTGGATCAAGATTACCTAAGTTTTAGCCCAAATTACTTTTACCCCATGTTAGCACAATTTTCATAGTAAATAACACTTGGCAGAGGAGAAAGAGACCAAATTATGTATGTTTTTCTGGCACTCACTACCGAGCACATAGACACTGCATATTATTTTGAAGATTAACTATTTTAAATGCTTATTTTTTCCAGTGGCTCTGTATATAAAGAAAGATAATGACATATCTTTTTTTTGAGATATTTAAAAATACATTTGTATCCACATTTGAAAACATTCCTTGTCACATTTTAGCTGAGATGAAAATACGGAGCTCTATCTTAAGATAAAATTAATAGGTTGCATCCTGAATATTTCTTCTGTCATAACATTAAGAAAAGATATACTTAGAAGTAATTTTTTTTTTGTAGGCTGGAATTTACTGGGTTAATTTGATTGACCACTTCTGTGCTGGATGGGGTATTTTGATTGCAGCTATCTTGGAAATAGTAGGAATCATTTGGATTTATGGTAAGTAACAAACAAAATTATAACATTTCTATATTAAAATATTTTAGCTTGGTTGCTCTTAAAGCTTTAACATAGACATTTTGGTGGATCTCTATGTCTACTAAATCTACATACTGAATATGATGATTATGCCTCTTAGTAATTCCAAAATAAGGAGATATTTTGGTTGGATATAATGAACTCTATTATTATGAGGAGGAAAGAAAACCAGTCATTGAAATACTAAAGGAACTGTAATTCTGATGTCTTCATAGCTACTAGTAATTAAAATTAAAGTACCAATGTACAATTTACTCACAAAAAATTATTGATATATATTTTTATTTGGTTGAAAATTTAAGCATCATAAATAAAATTAAATCGATTAAATGTAAAAAGAAATATTTTAGCTTTACTTTTTTCCCCTTATTTCTACTATGGTAGTGAAATATAATGTTGTTCTACTTCACTGATTCATAGCTGACCCTCCAGTGGGTTTTCAGAGGCTGTAAATCAATGGGAGGAGACTTCCTATGTTTTCCCCATGAACAGCTAGTAGATTTGAATCACTTGCCTTTGGGTTGGCAGTACAACTCCTTAGCTATTAGGCCACCAGAGTTAGTAAAATATAATACTGAGTAAAAGACACTTTAGGAAGGCAATGCAGTTAAAGATATATGTTTTGTTGTTTTGGGTACACAGATATTTTGAAGCCAGAATGATTAATGAAGGAAAATAGGAACAAGGGCTGAAAAGCCTCATTATTGGTATTATTTTCTTTAGGAGGAAACAGGTTCATTGAAGATATAGAAATGATGATTGGAGCAAAGAAGTGGCACTTCTGGCTGTGGTGGAGAGCTTGCTGGTTTGTCATTACGCCTGTCCTTTTGATTGTAAGTATTAATATGAAACAGTGTTAAAATCAATCACAATCATATTTACTCTTTTTCAAATAAACTTGAGGAGGAATTCATATTGATATAAGAAAAAGTATTGTCTGAATTATTTTTCAACTTTTTCAATTTCTCTATGACTGGCAGCTCCAAGTTGTATAACTTATAACATCCTTGAAATAGTATGTTATTTAGACCACGTGAGAAAATAAACTTCGAAAAGATGTAAAAGTTACTAATGTTGTTGTTGTTGGGTGCCATTAAGTTGCATATAACTTACAGCAAACCTTGAACCACAGATCTGGACCCTGCCTTATCCTTTGCCACCCTCATCATCTCTGACATACGTGAGCCTATTGCTGCAGTCACTATGTCAATCTATCTCATTGAGGGTCTTTCTCTCCCTTGCTGACCCTTATTAAATTGTTCATTTTTGAGGGACCTCTCCAAAGTACTGAAGAGCAATGGTGTCACTCTGGAGACTAAGGTGTGTCTGCCACAGGCCATGGTCTTTGCAGTCACTTGTTATGTATCAGAGAGTTGGACAATGACTAAGGAGGATAGAAGGAGAATTGACACCTTTGAGCTGTGGTGCTGGAGAAGAGTATTGAATGTACCATGGACTGCCAAGAAAACAGATTTATCCTGGAGAGGGTTAAACCAGGCTGCTCATTGGAAGCAAGGATTTTGGAGCTTTGTTTGACATACTTTGGACACGTTGTAAGGAGGGACAGGTCCTTGGAGAGGGACATCATGCTTGGGAGGGTAGAGGATGGTGCAAGAGGGAAGACCCTCTATCAGGTGGATTGATTCAGTGGCTGAGGTAATCAGGATGGGTGTGTCAGAGGCAGTGCGATTGGCACAGAATAGAGCAGGGTTTAGGGCTTTTGTATATAGGGTCGCTATGAGTCGCAAGAGACTCGATGACGCATAACAACAACAATATTCCCAGCACTTCTGCTGAGTATAGCAAGTATCAAGATGTAGAGGACCCAAAGAATTCATGTTTCAAATATGCAGATTGCTAGGAACAACATTTAACATAATTTATATACATATATATTTTTTTTTCCTGGGAGGTCTTTAATATATGAACTTACTACAGCCATTCCACGCTGAATGCACCCAATCTCGTCTGATCTCAGAAGCTAAACAGGGTTGGGCCTGGTTAGTACTTGGACGAGAGACCGCCTGGGAATATCGGGTGCTGTAGTCTTTTAGTTATTATATTTTGGAGGAACATTCTTCTTCTAAGTGGTACATGATACAGCACCCTTTTATCAATATGCTGCACTGAGGTAACCTGGGGTTGCTGTGATCCTGAACCTTGTGCCATTAGAATGTCAAATGCCATAATGGTTACTCATATTGGACAGTGTTTGGTGGAGCTCACAGTTTAGGACAGGTTTGGAAGCAGGAGTGGCATCCACTTCCTAAACCACATTCCTCCAGAAACTCTATGAACTTTGATAAATGTTGATAGTTGTAGAGGGGCTTCAGGCCTTTTGTTCATAGGGTCACTAAGAGTTGTGCTTGACTATAAGACAATCAACAACACCTAATAGAAACTCATGTGTATTGATAGAGGCAATGGTTATGCTAATAAAAAGTAGTCTTCAATATACATTGAAGCTCAACATCAAGAAGACAAAGATTCTCACCACTGGGCCAATTGGTCATAATAGATGGAGAAGATATTGAGATTGCTAGCAATTACAGCTTGTTCAGATCCAGTCAATACTCTTAACACCAGCAGTCAGGAAATCAAAAGACAAATTGCCTTGGGAAAATCTGCTGTCATGGACTTCGCCAGAGTGTTGACTGTGTGGATCATAACATATTATGGCTAACAATGAGGAAAATGGGAATCCTAGGACTCTTAATTATGCTCATAAGAAACCTATACCTAGACCAAGAAGCTGTTGTCCAGAGCTAGGCAACACTGCATGGTCTAAAGTCAGGAAAGATGTGCATCTGGGATGTATCGTTTCCCTGTACCTATTTAGACTTTCTCCATGCCTGGATTCTATGAAGAAGAATGTGGCATTAGGATAAGAGGAAGTCTCAAAAATTGCCTTATGCAGATGACACAACTTTGCTTGCTGAAAGTGAGGACTTGAATACTTGCTACACAAGACCAAACACTGCAACTTTCAATACAGATTGTTTCTCATCATCAAGAAGACCCAAATTTTCACCACTGGACCAATAAACAGCATCATGATAGATGGGAAAAAGATTGAAGTCACCAACAATTCCTTCTTGCTTGGATCTACAATCCACAGTCAGGAGATCAGGAGACATATTGCATTGAGCAAGTCGGCTGTCAGGACTTCTCCAAATTACTGAGGAGCAATGATGTAAATATGAAGACTAAGGAGCAACTTATTCAGATTTTTCCACTTGCTTTGCATCTGAGATCTGGACAGTAAATAAGAATGACAGAAAAATTGATGCGTTTAAGTAAGATGATAAAGTGTCATCTCATATACTTTTGCCATATTGCTAGGAAAGGTTATTCCTTTGAGAGGGACATCATGCTTGGAAGACTGGAGGGATGGTCAAGGACAGAAAGACCCTCAACCAAGTGTATTGACACAGTGACTGCAGCAATGGGTATAAGTGTGTCAGAGATGATCAGGACGGCACAAGATAGGACAGGGTTCAGATCTGTTGTACATAGAGTTGCTATGAGTCATACTTGATTTGAAAACACCTACCAACAAAACAGAAAATTTCAGATATATTTCCTTCTCCATCTGATGTATCATGTGGTCAAGTATTTTATTGAAATGAATACTAGAGAAGTAGCTTATATAAGTATTATTTATTCAAAACCAAAATGCAAAGTATTTAATTTGGTCCTTTTAATATTGTTATCTTCTAGTTACTTGCCTGCTTAATTTACCTGCTTGAATGAATTCTCATTTTAATTGATAAATTATTTCTAATGAAGGAGCTTAAAGTGTTCATCACTAGTACAGTTGAACTCATATATGTAATGAAGACTAATACTTAGCTTTGATTTTTTTTATGTTTTACTTTTACAGGCAATTTTTATCTGGTCAGTGGTGACATTTCAGAGACCTACTTATGGCACCATTTTATACCCTGATTGGGGAATTGCTATAGGCTGGTGTTTGATTATTTTCTGCATTATTTGGATTCCAATTATGGCTACTGTAAAAATAGTTCAGGCTAAAGGAAACATCTTTCAAGTAAGTACATGAAGTTAAAAGTTCATTTTTTAATAATATTACTAATAAAAACAAAAGGACCTTATGTTTAAATAATATTATAAATATAAATGTTAATTTTTATAATGAATATTACAATTTCTTATAAAATAATAAAAATTTTTGTTCATGTGCTGGTGATAAGATTATGAACATCATGTTTATTACTTTCTCTCCTAAACTACTTTATACCTGATACAATCATCTGTCACTATATAAACATATTTTTGTACATCCTATGCATAGACTATATGAGCCTATAAACTTCTTGAGCGAGGAGTCTGGTCTTGCTTTTGGTATATCCTCAGGCTCGAGTCCAGTGCTTAGCGCATATAGCTATAATATCTATAGTTACACCAAGTTTTCCCTAAAAGAAAACAGGACATGTGATCCTTTAACTCTCTATTATATCCACGTTGTTGCTGTTATGTGCTGCAGAGTTGGAATCAAATCATAGCTGACCTTGCAGTGACTTTTCAGAGGCTGTAAATCCTACAGGAGAAGTTTGCCTCTCTTTCTTCTTCAGAGCAGCTGGTAGATTTGAACCATAAGCCTTTGGGTTGGCAGAACAATTCCTTATCACTAAGTCACCAGGGCTCCCTATATACACTTTGTTGTTGTTGTTGTTGTTATGTACCGTCAAGTCACTTGCAACTCATAGTGACCCTATGTACAACAACCCTAAACCCTGCTCTGTCCTGTGCCAATCGCACCATCTCCAAACACACCCACCCCAATTACCCCAGTCACTGAATCAATCCACCTCATAGACTGTCTTCCCCTCCTGCGCTGTCCCTCCACCCTCCCAAGCATGATATCCTTCTCCAAGGACCAGTCCCTTCTTGCAACATGTCCAAAGTATGTCAGATAAAGCCCCAGAATCCTTGCCTCCAAGGAGCAGCCTGGTTAAACCCTTTCCAGGATGAACATGCTTTTTCTCTTAGCAGTCCACAGTACATTCAATATTCTTCTCCAGCGCCACAGCTCAAAGGCATCAATTCTCCTTCTATCCTCCTTAGTCATTGTCCAATTCTCTGAGGGGGAAACCTCACAATAACCAAAATACCAATTTTCTGGTTATAATATAGTCCTAATAGTGAATTTGTATTCCTTGGGAATTGCAAATGACTAATTTACTAGACTAATGGGAAGGTTAGTGGTTCAGTTCTATTTAGAAGTACTCTGTGATCTACTTCTGAGAAATCGGCCACTGGAAACCCTATGCAGCACCATTCTCCTGTGTCATTGTGAGCTGGAATCAACTCAATGACAACTGGTTGATACTGTGTTTAGATTGGAATTTGAAAGTTATCTTGAATTCCATCTGGACCTTGAGTCATCCTGATGCCATGGGGCCTAAGGAGACGATGTTATTTATGATATTACACTAGGGTATTATCAAGGTCACCTTGATAGTCTTGGGTTTAAATAAATCCTTAAGACCATCTGAGAATTTATATGAATCAGTGGATTGACCCTGGAACTCTCTTTGATTTGAGAGAATATATCTCAGTACACATTGATTTCAATCTTTGATTAACCCTTACTTTAGGCCAGGTTGGAAAGGTAGGTATATGGGGTGAAGCTGTTGTGCTAATGGGCTCACATATCTTTTTCTGAATGTATTTGTATAATCACATACTTTTTAGCTTATTAAAGAAGTTCTATATACAATCATCCCTTAATAGCTGCAGGGCATTGGTTCCAGGAATCCAGCTAAGACGGATGCTCAAGTAGTTACATAAAATGGTGTAGTATTAGAATAAAATCTACACACAGCCTCCTGTATACAAATCATCTCTATATTATGCATAATACTTAATATAGTGTAAAACCACTTGAGCTCCCTCTTAGTCTTTGAAGCTCTGGTATCCTAGTAGTAAAGAGTTGCACTGCAGTAAGACATGAGGTTCAAATTGACCAGCTGCACCACAGAAGAAATATGGGCAATCTCCTCCTCTGGCTATGAATGGGTTCCAAATCCATAGCAACCAACAACAATAATTTAACTTTGAGAGATTGCTTTGACCACTGAATTGCTGCTTCCCTTCTCTCAGGCAATCTGTGCTTAGAATTCACAGATACAGAACTTGCAGATACTAAGGGCCAAAGGTACTTTATTTCTTAGTATAACTAATAGTCTATTGTTAATAATTTAGATTAGCCCTATTTTTCCTACTTCATTTTGGGTAAAATAATAATTTTGTTCAAAATAAAGCTTAATATTTGACTGTTTAGAGATTGCCACTTAAATTTTAAGACAAACATTTTTGTTTTGTTTTGTTTTTCAGCGTATTGCAAGTTGTTGCAAACCAGCTTCTAACTGGGGACCTTACCTAGAGCGGCATCGTGGGGAGAGATATAAGGGCATGGTAGACCCTAAAAAGGAAGCTGACCATGAAATACCTACTGTTAGTGGCAGTAGAAAACCAGAATGAAATATATTTTTCAATATATGATTATGTAATGTGATTTTGTTTGAAGAGAGGAAAATATTATTTATTTGTGTGTCAACCTAGCACAAATATGTATATACCATGTTCATAATAATGTGACAAACTTTCCCCCCCATTTAAGTAGAAGTATAATATAAAAATGTGAATCTATTCATGTTTAAGAATGTTTTTATTATAATTTCTTTTAAATTATCTACCTGTATCACACACACATAAAGACACCTAGAGCTGTCTCTTTCTGATAATAGCACGTTTGTATTACCAAAATGTTTTTCTAATACATTAAAGAATATTTTGAGATGGTTATTTAGAGAGTGGCTGTATTTTGTATTAAACAAGCTTTAAAACATTATTGTTTAAATAATTTAAAACATTCTATTTCCTTAATACGTTGGTTTCTTTCCACAAACTGGGGAAGTTTATTTTGAAGAAATATATTTTGAAGACGGTGACAAACTGGTAGTTTGACTCTAAGAAATTCTATATATTTATTTAAAAAATTAACTCTATATAGAAGCAGGTGGTGGACTTGAACCACTGGAGACATGAAAACTTTTGCTTAGCAGAACAATATATTACATCCCCATCAGAGTTCTGTAAAGACTATAGACTAGTAATTATTTTATTTAATGTTTTAAAACTGCATGAATTTGACACTTTGTGATGTCAGTGTTTACGCTTCATACTTACAAAGAAAAAGAACACAAATAAATTCAAATAATTAAATATAGATAAATCTAGAAAATAGAAACAAGAAGCTTTCAATATTTCTCATGTAATATTTTCTTCCTTTGGGTTATGTCTGGAAGATAAAAATGACTTGCTTAAGTTCCATTTTGTTTTACAAAATTAAGGGGTTTTGTTGTTGTGAGGTGCTGTTGAGTCAAGTAAAACTCATAGGGACCCTATTTAAAAACAGATCTGAATACTGCTCTATCCAATGCCATCCTTGTCATCTCCAACACACTTAAGTCCAATGCCACAGTCACTCTATCCATCCATCCATCCATTTCATTGAGAATTTTCCTCTCTTTCATTGACCCTTCATCTTTGTAAGAATGATGACCATTCCCAAGTAATGTTGTTGTTGTTGTTATGTCCCATCGAATCGTCTGTGACTCATGGCGACCCTATGTACAACAGCCGTAAACTCTGCTCTGTCCTGTGCCAATCGCACTGTCTCTGACACTCCCATCCCAATTTTCCCAGTCACTGAATCAATCCACCTCATACAGGGCCTTCCCCTCCTGCACCGTCTTCCACCCTCCCAAGCATGATGTCCTTCTCCATGGACTGGTCCGTCCTTACAACATGTCCAAAGTATGTCAGACTAAACCTCAGGATCCTTGCCTCCATGGAGCGGCCCAGTTTAACCCTCTTCAGGATGAATCTGTTTGTTTCCTTGGCAGTCCACAGTACATGCAATACTCTTCTCCAGCACCACAGCTCAAAGGCATCAATTCTCCTTCTATCTTCCCTAGTCATTGTCCAACTCTCTGATGCATAACAAGTGATTGGAAAGACCATGGCCTGTATCAGACACATCTTAGTCTCCGGAGAGACACCATTACTCTTCAGTACTTTGGAGAGGTCCCTAACAGCAGACTTTTCCATCTCAAAATGGCTTTTAATTTCCTGGCTGCTGGTGCCAAGAGTGTGGAGCCAAGCAAACTAAAGCTATTAACAATCTGAGTCTCTTCACCATTCATCATGATGCTGCCAATTGGTCCAGAGGTGGGAATTTTTGTTTTCTTGATGTTGAGTTTTAATCCATATTGAAGGCTACGGTCCTTGACCTTCTGCAGCAAGTGCTTCAGGTTCTCCTCAGTTTCAGCAAGTAAGGTTTTGTCATCTGCATAAAGCAGGTTGTTAAGTCTTCCTCTAATCCTGATGTCAAATTCCTCCTCATAAATCCCAGTCTCCCAGATGTTCTGTTCCACATACAGACTGAAAAGGTATGAAGATAGGATGCATCCTTGATGAACTCCTCCCTGATTTTGAACCATGTAGTGTTTTCTTGTTCTGTTCTGATGACTACCTCCTGGTGCATGTATAGTTTTAGCATAAGCAAAATCAAGTGTTCTGGGATTCCCATTCTTCTCAGAGTCACCCACAGTTTGTTGTGATCCACTTCGTCAAACTATGATCGCATAGTCAATGGAACACAAACAGACATTCCTCTGGTGCTCTTCACTTTCAGCCAAGATCCATCTAATACTAACTATAACATTCCTAGTACCATGGCCTCTTCTAAACCTAGCCTACATATCTATATGGCAGTTCTCTTTTGATGTGCTGTTCCAGTCATTTTTGGATAATCTTTGGCAGTATTTTGCTTGCATGTTATATTAATAATATTGTCTGATAATTACCACACCCTGCTGGATCACCTTTCTTTGGAATGGGAACAAATAAGAATCTCTTCTACTCAGTTGTCCAGGTGGTTGTATCCTAGATTTCTTGGCACAACTTGGTGAGCACTTTCAGGGAAGCATCTGTGTTTTGAAATATGTCAATTGGTATGCCATCAGTTCCTGGGGCCTTGTTCTTTGCTAATTCTTTCAGAGTAGCCTGAACTTCTTCCTTCATCATCACAAAGTCTTGCTTATATTTTTTTCATTAAATTCTTCTGTATCAGACAATTCTTTTTTCTAGTACCTGGAATTTGGACTTGGAGACTTCTAAACACTAGAGAGACTGAGTACAACAGTGAGAGGCATGAGGTGTCTAAAATTACAGAAACACAGAAGGAAGGCTTGAAACCTAAGCTTTCAAGGGCTGGATGGGAGGAGGGAGGTGTCAAATGGGGTAGGTGGGAGTGGAAGGGATGCTGGTGGAGTGGGGAAAAGGATAGGTCAAGACACACTTGCCAAGTGGGGGGAAACACTGAATCTAAAATTGGGAAACGCTCCTTTCTGCAAAATGCTTGTCTGTTAGATAGTGTTCTAAATCTGAACATTCAAATTAAAACAGACTAGGAAGAAGGATTGGCAATCCACTTATGAAATAACAGGTCTTCAAAAACCCTATGTACAATTGAGCACACTTAGAGTAGACTAGCAGATATGGCAACTAAGGCTGAGCCTTCAAATATGAAAACGCAAAGGAGGAAGAAGAGTTGTAAGCAGACAGTAGTGATTGGAACCTGGAATGTGAGAAGCCTGAGTGTAGGAAAATTGGACACTGTTAAGAAAGAAATAGAAAGCATAAATATTGATATACTAGGTATTGGTGAAGGTGGGTGATTTTCATCTGCGGCCCTCAGCCAGGTTCAAATTGTTTTCATGTCAAACATTCTTCTAGGTGGTATACCACTGCTCTGTGTGTTGCTGTTCAGAGGTAACTCGTGGTTGCTGTGATGCTGAAGACTGTGACAGTGATGTGCCAATTGTGGTAACGGGTACCCATGGTGGACAGTGTTGGCTGGAGCTTCCCAACTAAAACAAGCCTGGAAGCAGGAGTGGCATCCACTTCCAAAATGGCTTGCCTCTGGAAACTCTATGTACAAACACTGCTCAGGCCCTTCGCTCATAGGGTCGCTATGAGTCGTCTACGACTCGACGGCACCAAACAACAACAGGTATTGGTGAAACGAGATGAACTGGCATGGGGCAATAACAATAGAGACACAAAATTAATTATCCAAGGAGATCAAAAGGGAAATAGTCAAGATTATTTGTAGAGGAAAGAGACCCCCAATAAGCAAAGCACTCTCTGACCTCAAAACCTACTACATAGTGGTAGTAAACAAAACAATATGGTACTGGTACAATAACAGGCACATAGACCAATGGAACAGAATTGAGAACCCAGAAATTGGACCTCTCTATCTATGGTCAACTGATATTTGACAAGGAAATAAAATCTATCTGATGGAAAAATGACAACCTCTTCCTGCTGGCACAACTGTATTGGTTTTGGTCCCCCCCCCCAACTGTATTGTTAACTGCAGAAAGCTGAAGCAGGATCCACATTTATCTCACACCATACACAATAATCAACTCAAGGTGGATAAGAGATCTGGGAACAAAGCTCAAAACCAGAGTTCATAAGAGACAAATGAAAACAAAGCTTAGAAGGCCTAGCCTATGGTATTAAAAAGGCTGACAACAGACAGAAATGCACAATTTGGAAAGGGTAAAATTGGTGAATAGGACTTTCTAAAGATTCAATCTCTGTGCTCATCAAACACTTTTTCAAACAGAGTGAAAAGAAAACCTACCAACTGGGGAAAAACATTTGGCAATACCACCTCAGACAAGGATCTTATAACAAAAATTTGCAGAACATTACTGGGCCTCTAGAAGAAAGAGACTGATAACTCAATTACAAAATGGGCAGAAGACATGGTAAGACTTTTCACAGAGGAAAATATTCCAATGGACAACAGACACATGAAGAAACGCTCAAAGTCACTGGCAATAAGAGAGATGAAAATCAAAACCACAATGAGATAAAAACTCATGCCAATGGCAATGGCAAATTTTATCAGGGCAGCAAGCAATAAATGGAGAGGATGTGGAAAATGTGAACTTTCATACGCTGTTGGTGGGATTGTAAAATGGTACAACCACTGTGGAAGGTAGTTTAGCGTTTCCTCAAAAAGTTGAACATAGAAACTCCATATGATCTGGCTATTTTATTGCTAGGAATATCCCATGAGGAAATTAGAACTAAAACACAAATGAAGCTTTGTACACCAATGTTCCTAGCAGTGTTCACAAGAACATGGAAATGGCCCAATCACAACTTTGAGAAATTGTGGAACATTCACACAATAGAATACCATGCAGCACTCAGGATAAATTATTTTTTTAGGAGAAATTATTTTTTTTTTTAAAAATACTACTTAACTTGGGAGAGACTGGAGACTGAAGAGCACTATGCTGAGTGAACGAACTCAGTCTCCCAAGGAAAAATACTGCATAAGACCGTGATTGTAAAAATAGAAGGATAATTGATAAAACATGGATGGAGACACAAAGAGGGAAGGGGTGGAAGCATAGAAGTGAGGATGGGTAGGGGCAAAACCACAAGATTGTACAGTTTGGTGG